CAAATCGAAATGCAAGAATGGTGAAATCGTTTATGGCACACTCGGCAGAAGTAATATGCCGGATCAGGGTTTGGTACGACGCCAGCTCTGATGAGAAGGATCTGGAGCAGCCCAGCTGCGAGATATTGCTCCGTTGATGTACTTAGAGTAATGTTACCTGTTGACCTTAACGGGGTTAGGTCGCCGAAAGAGTGACAGCCGTATAAATTGGTTATAGCGGAAGTCGTTTCCAACTTCAACGTCACAGGGTGGCCCGAAAATGAATAGAAAAATATTAAATGTAATTGTTCAATAACCTAAAAGTACATCAATGAACTCTGTGAGCTGTATTTACCGCCATCCCCATTAAATTGATTCAAGATACTTTGGCGAACCATCTAACACTTGAAGAGAGTTCGTCCATCAAGCTATTTCTAATTCCCTTTAGCAGCAATATTTTCCCTGAAATACCTACAAACAAACGGTGCTGATGTAATTTAATCTCCGGATAAATAAAGCATAAACGCGGCATACCAAGCACTTCGACGCTTTAAAAGGGTGGCAAACTGCTGGTTGGTGGGCAGCAGGTGGAGTTCCAAAACAGATGATTCAAACGTGCAACAACAAATGTGCAGGGAGTCACTTATAAAATCGCTGTTCATCATTGCCTTCCTGCCGTGCGCTTTACCACCGACCGACTCATCACAGCCACCCACAGAGCGAGAGAACGAGTCAACAACGAACAAGGAAATTTATTACGCATACGCACAAAACAACACTGAACGTAGAAGTGAAATGAAGAATAACAAGAAGGAAGCACTAAAAGCTAACAAGCGAGCGAGCTGGCGAGCCAGCCAGTGAGCAACGGTAGTAAAGGCCGTAACAGTGTAAAATGAAAACGAGCATAGTAATGGACGGCAAAGTGGAAAGGGCCCACTTTGTAGTGCGTAGACCAGTATATTTATGTAGATTTGTATATATGTATGTATGAATGTATGTGTTGGAAAAAGCGTTGAACGTACAAAGAAAGCACGCCGGTACGGTGAATGACCGCGTCTAACACACATTCGATAGCAAAAACGAACGAACGAGCGAACGAACGATTGTGTGACGAGTAAACAAAATAAACCGAAAAGGCATAAAAGCAAAGCAACGGCCGGGCAGGGCTGAGTAGTGGAGAAACATACTTACATGTGCGTACTGCCAATGGCGTCACCAAAGGTATTTTGGGCGAATTTACTTCCTTCAGCAGCAAGTTTCAAAAGTAGAATTCAAAAGTAACGGTACATTTCATAAATAAGCTAGAAAACGCTAAGAGTGTTTAAATAAAAAAAAGTGTTGAACAAGTGTTAAAATACAATTTGGCGCTAACGGTTTTGTGTGAAAAAAAATCTCCGAATATTCATAAAGGGTATCAAGTAACCAGAAACTCGGTTTTTAAGTGAGAAAAATTTCACTCCATAGAAATTGAATCACTTTCGTGTTGTTAATGAAAGAAATCAAGTAACTCAAGATATGGGAAGACTTAAAAGCAATAAAAAAAATCGAAGAAAGGAAGTTAGTGGTGAAGTTAAAAGCACTCAGTGTCCTAACTATCAATGAAAGCTCTGTGAAAGAGTGAAGAAGTTTTTTCGGTTTTATTTTTGGACTGAAGAAATCCCCTAGAGAAGTGGAGAACATATACAAACAGCGAAGCGCGACTCCGTTTAAAGAGACTGGGATCATATCTTGCTCTTGTAACCTCAAAATGAAAATTGATAGGCTGAAATCCGGTTCATTCTGGTATAAAGATTTAACTATCTTGGCACCTACAGCATTTTAGTCGTCAGCTAGGACAGACTTGCCATTCTACGAGCAAATTCTCTCATCCATAAGTTGGAGGAGACACCGGGAGCTATCGCAATTTTGTCGCTATAGCTGTCGACTGAATACCAGACATTCTACATGAAGCTCTGCCTGTATACGGTATCAAACCCAGTTCAAAATTATGTGCAATATGGTATTCAATTATTATTGTCGGAGTAGCTTGGGAGACCGGTACTGTATGGATTTTTTCAATTTAAGACTCTTCCCATTTATTCAGCTGACAACTCTGGAGTAGAATCAAGAAACTACAGATGAGTTTCGCATGTAAACGAATGTAGAATATCAATATCAAATAAACAAGCGACAGTCGTAAGAGGGAATGATTCCTTGCACTCAAAATCTTTCAAAGGGGCAAAAGCATGTATGAATATTTAATTAAAAATATTGACGACACCAGCTTGTTTCCATAGATCATGTCAAGGCCTTTTAAAACAGGACCCAAACCGATTTCTGTACCTAATAAGGCCTTTTTCTGCTTGTAATTCTGTACAAGGACTTAAGCCCAATCAGCCCGGAATGAAGAGCGTTCGGCTCTACTAAACACAAATGTCTCACTGAGGCTTAGGCGGCGACAAGTAGGAATTTTCGAGATAAAGTGTTTGCATAAGATTTATGCTTCCTGACGCATTAGCAAAAATTAGTTCTATAGGGATAATGGAATGATTTGCTGAAAAGGGAAACAGCGTCTTCACAAGCTTAGTTATGTCGTCCGAATGTGTGAAAATCCTCAACCCAGTTTGAAGACATATGATACAGTGCTCGCTGGTGGAAGTTGAGGAACACAGAAAGATCTCTACATCATTGAAAAAATCAAGTGGTGAACGACCTAATCACACGCCATACCTGTAATTGACACAGAATTGCGAAAATCTTTTTTAGATTTAGTTTAACTCAGGAGATTAATGTATAATACAGCCACGAAAAGAAGCAGATGAAGTGAGTATAGAAGAAGTACGCTCTGAGCAGGATATATACATGGACTTACCAGTCTCCTTGGGAAAGTAAAACATACTAAAGGAATGCATTTTCATCAGCTGGTTCATGGGTTTTGGAAAGGAGAAAGGAGCGGGCCGCGAAATAGCGAAAATTGTGTAAAAAATATGTGACGCGAAGCTTATCACGTTTCTACAACACACAAAGGGATTCGATACTACGCTGCTAGCGGACATATCACCAGAGCTTTAATTATTGCGTGGCGCGCATATGAAAGTGTGGAGACATTGTGTAATTTATCAGTGTCGCATCCTACAGACAAAGGATGATATCACTTGTTAACCATAAGCTGTGAATCTTAAGACAGCAGTGGATAAAGCACTGTATCCATAGAAAGTTTACATAGAAAGCAGCCATGTTTTTCACACTAGAGAGACAACAAAAAGTGTTATATGATGTTATTTGGTTAGACTCCCTAAAAAGTTGCCCAATTTTACAGAAACTAATCTGAACTGCCGTCGTCTCGTTGATTCAACCTGACGGTGTACCGAGCGCTACAGAACAAAGCAATTTTAAGCCTCATAAAGCCTCTTGACAGTATAGGGTCGACACAGTAGATATCTTAATTGGGCTTGAGACCTAACGAAACTTCCGCTGTGATTTGGCTGCTCAAACTGTTTGAATGCAACTCGAAATGGAGCTGACAAGAGCTCAATTGCCCAGAATTTCCAACACAATAATCATCATACTCTCTGTAAGCCCTGTTGATTAAACTATCTCCACGTGGTACTAGTGCTGCGGTCAGGACAGTAAACGTAGTCAACTCTGTGAATAAAACGAGCTGAAAAAACTCTCACTCATTTCGTGTATAACCAGTATCGTGATCTTCACACTATTCACTAAATGCCCAATTTATCTGCAAAATCGTATCCAATTCCACTTCTGAGTTTTACAAAACTAAATGATCGTCTTCAATTAAATTGTTATCCGCAAAGTGAAGCGTCATTACGTAATTTTCGCACGCCAGAAGTTCAATTCTATGAAACGTGACAACTTTAACGGTAATTAGCAACGATTTGGCATATTTGTCAACGCACAGCTGTCAAAAAAAAAAACACGCAGAGAAAATACAACAAAACAAAACAACTTGACATTACCTTACCACTACGGAGTGTGAGGAGACAGCGTGAGAGGAGAGAGGCGAACAGTTGGTTGGTGGTGGCGAGACGGAAGCATGAGTGCTTGAGTAGTAGGACAAAGACAAAGAGAGCGACAACCAGGAAGAAACACAAGAAAAATGAACGCTCGAAAGGAATTATTACGAAATTTATTATTTAGCAAAATCAAAATAAAAGCAATAAAAAGAAAAAACGAACGTGAAAAGTGCCAAGCGCTATTGGCATTATTTTTAAATTGTAGCCAGTTAGTTATAAAAATAAACCGTAAAGCATTCAATATGCACACGACGTACCTACATTCATATATACGAAACTTGCATATACATATGTATATACATATGTATGTACGTATGTATATATAAATGCCCACAAACAAGTATTCGCCAGCAAGTGCGCTACGTCACCCGACAAGCAAGACATAAACAAAACTCACAACGGGAAGATGGAGAAGAAGAAGAAGAAGAAGCAACAGCGACGAACTGAGCGCCATCGTACACTCAGTAGGTGTAGCAGGAAGCAATAACAAATCTAAAGCAAAATGTCATTAAACTCTGGTGTGCGAGTAAAAACAAAAAGCAAAATACGTGAAGAAGAAGAAGAAAAAGAAAAACCCAATGAAAACAAACAAAATAGAAAACGAGAGCATAACAACAAATGCGCGCCAACTGACAAACTGACAGTTGACTGTCGTAGCGGGTGTAGAGACGGCGGTAGGGTGCGCACAGATTTATAAACTTCGAGATATGAGTTTGTGCGCCGAATGTCTGTAAAAGCAAATATGCCAGGCAAATACTCTAACTCAAACACCACACACAATGCGCTCCTCGAATACTTTGTACTTGGAGCGTACGTTGTAGTCTTCGCTTCCACAGAAATTAGTAGCCGTTACGCTTTGCTGCTTTGCCATCATGCAGGCCGAATACGTACGTACCTACTTTAATTCATATATTCATATATACATACATACATATGAATGTTAGATGGCGCGCGTATGTAACGTACCAACGTACGAATACCAGCGCACACAGCGCCATCAAAGCGCAAGCATGGCACAACACATTTTGTCAGCGCTTGTGTGTGTGCTCAATAAAGCGCGCTAGTTTTCCAAAGTATGCACCGAACGCGTCGCGTTGCTGTGGTTAGAGCGAATACGCTAGCTTGTATAGCGCATCGTCAAAGCAAGCTGAAGCAAGCAATTGTCAGCCGAAAAATGGCTGTCAAAACCATATGACTTTGACAGCACCAAAGCAAGCAAGCAAGCTAGCAAGCACAAACGCACACATACACACAGCAAGCGCACTGACGTTTAGCCGAAGCACGAGGCACGCTTGAGTTTGGAAAATTTACAAAAATTCTGTGCTTCAAGCGTTTAAAAGTTAATAAAAGTGTTGGAAATTATTGAAATTAAAGAAACGCGTAGTACAAAGTGTTGTGAAAATGTTTGAAGATCTTCTAATAGCCGCAATGAAGCGTTATCCCTGTATATACGATAAGGGACACTCGGGTTATCGCAATAAAGCCATAACCGAAATGGCGTGGAAATCGGTGTCGATTGCCACAAAGAGGCCAGGTAATGCGAGTGATTTGCAGCAAAGTTGCAATTCTATTTAATACTTTCATGACTTATACATTTACGCAGTATCACATTGTCGCAGTCGTTGGAAGAGTTTACGAGACCGTTATGTTAGAGAAATGAATGATACGGAGAGCGATCGGCCGGTATGGATGTATATGGCGGCAATGTCGTTTATGAAAAAGTTTGTCAAGAAAAGAGGGTAGGTGGCAAAGGAAAAAATTATTAAATAACCAATTTAAAAATTATTAAAGCATGAAACTTAAATATTGAAAAAAAAACTGAAATAATTAGAAGAAAATTGAAAAACAAACAGATATTTAATTATAAAAAAATGTTAAAAAAACAAAAAAAAAATGAAAAATAATATAACGTAAAAAGAAAAACGAAATAAAAAATTAAACGAAAAAAAATATTAAACTTTATAAAATAAATGAATTATTAAGAGAAATAAATATAAAAACACTAAATAGGGATGGTAAGAACAATAATAAAAAATAATAAATAAAAATAAAGAAAATAAATAAACATAAAGTGCATATGTATATAAAAAAAGTACAAAAAAAAAGCAAAAAAAAATAATTATATAAAAGAAATAAAAAATAAAACAAGTAAAGATAGAAATAAAAAAAAATATTATTATAAAATAAAAAAAAAAATATATAATACAAACAAAGAAAATAAATAAATATAAAGTTTGTATACAAAAAAAACAAGATATAAAACAAAGCAAAAAAAAAATAGTTATTTCAGAGAAATAAAAAATAAAACAAGACAGAAATTAAAAAAAAAAAATATTATTATAAAAAAAAAAATAAAATAAAAAAAAATGTTTAATACAAACAAAGAAAACAAATAAATATAAAGTATGTATACGAAAAACAAATTATAAAAGAGATTAAAAAATTAAAAACAACAAACAAGATATAAAAATTAAAAAAAAATATTTAAGCGAAATAAAAATCAAAACAAGAAAATAAAATGCTTGATACCAGCAAGGAAAATAAATTATATACAATATATTATTTAAGAATAAGATATAAAACATATTAAAATGAATATTCAATATTCAAAAAAAGGGGAAAAGTAGCAAATTTAAATAAAAATGAAATTAAAAAATAAAATAAAATACTTAATAACTACAAAGAAAAAAAATAAATATAAAGTAAACAAAAAAAGATATAAAATAATTAAAAATAAAACTGAAAATAGAAAAGAAAAGAAAAGAAAAGAAAATAAAATAAGAGGTAAGAAACTCGAAAAAATAAAAAAACATTGAAGAGAAAAAAGTGAAAACTGAACATGAGTATAAAATAAGAAAAGGACATATTAAAAAAATTTAGAAAAACTCAAATTTAAGAATAGTAAAAATTTAAAAAGAAAAACACAAGAGATAAAATTAAAAAAAAATTAGAATAAAAAAAATGCACAAAATTAAAAAGTAAAATTGATAAGCAAATAAAAATCAAAAAATAAAAAATAGAGAATAAAAAGTAAAAATAACAAGTTAATAAAATAAAATGAAAAATAATTAAATTAAAAAAAATTAAATAAAATTAATGGAAGAAATGAAAATAAGACATTAATTAAAAAATAAACAAATTAAAAAAAAAACAAACAAAAAAATCTGTTTATGGAACAATAAGGTTAATAACACAAATTATAAGATTAATTCTAAAAGTAGCATAAATTAAAATATAAAAATATACTTTAAAAATTTTAAAATTATAAAACATTAAAAATAAATAAAAAGATGGCATAAAAATTAAGTAAAGTTAACAAAGAAAAAGTTCAAAAGATACAAAAAACGAATAAACAAAACAATATATATATTAAATATAATACAAGTATTAAACTAAAAATAGTGTTAAAATTAAATATTAAAAAAGTAAAAAGGTTTAATAAAAATTATTTAAAAAAATTGTTAAAAAATTAAATAAATAAAAAAATAAAATTACAGAAATTAAACTTAATAAAAATACTTAAATTGAACTTAAATTAAAAAAAGAAAAAAGTTTGAAAAGAATCAAAAACTAAATAATTATAAAATTATTAGAAAAAATGAAAGTATTAAACTAAAAACTAAAAAATAATAATTTATAATAAAAAATCAATAGTGTGGCCACAAAACCTATTATAAAAATAACAAATTTTAAGAGAATTAAAATCAAAAATAAATGTTATAACAAAAAAAGAAAGGGAAGGGAAATAAAATGAAAAATATATAATTAAATAAACAATTTAATATACATATTTAAAAATATTGAAGTGGAAAAATAAAGAATAAAAATAAATAAATAAGATATTATAAACAAAAATAAACAACAAAATAAATGTATTATAATATAAACGGCGTTTTATAACCACTGAAGCGATTTTAGGCTGAGCTCCGCCTCCAATTTGTGGCTTTGCGTCTTGAGATTTTTCCAATAAATGGAAGTGTAAAGGTATTAAAACAAATTAACTGGAAAAAATTAAAATATTGAATAAAATATATTTAAAGTAAAAAATTATTAATAAATATATAAATAAAAAGATAAAATTATAATAAAGGAAAAAAACCAATATATAAAAGCGAAAAAAAATCTCTAAAAACACTTTCACTTAACCAAAATTGTCAATCACCTATGGAGCTGCCCACTAATCAAACTCCTCTCTTCCCATCACCAGCACCAACACACGCCTCAGGGATGACTACTTCATGGAAACCACAATGGATAACTATTCAATTGAGGATTTGTTCGAGGTTGAAGATGAGAAGGAACCTAAAAATAAATCCACCGATATGAACAATTATGCGGTTGAGGATATTTTCATTGTTGAAAAAGAGCACGATGAAGCTTTTGAAAATGAAGATATACACACTGAAACTATTTCGAGCACAAAGCACGAACACTTGTCGGAGGCAAGCGAAGCAGAAGACCACGCCGAAGTTGAAGTTGAAGCAGAGGAAGTTGCAGATGATTTTCGCGCCAACACTTCACAAGCGAGCACCTCACAAGCAGCTAAACGTCAAAGCGTTGCGAAAGCACAACGCCCAACGCAGTCACAAGCAGAAGTACATCCGCTGTCGCAGCCCAAGCTGCAGTCGACGGAACTAACGAATCAAATTAACGGTTTAAGGGAAAATATTGGCAATTTAAATCAATTAATTAATGCAAATTTGATTAAAGAGTCTAAAAATGAGGCATTCTATAGATTCATCGAATCGTTTATGGTTAAACTTGATGAGAGAGAACAGGATAAATTAAAGGTGGATGTGGTTAACTTGGTGGCGCGTCGACTGGAACAGTCGCAGAGAAATGAAAAATAATTTTTTTTTTATGAAAATACTAAATTTTTATTTAATTATGTAATAATATTTTTTTCTACGCATGCAGTATTTTTAATAATTTGCCCACAATTCGCTTCTAATAATTTTATTTTAAGGTTATGTTTAGTTGAATAAAATGTAAATAAACTTTTGAATGAACTATCTTTTATTGATCAGACATGAAGAAAATAGAAGTACAAGAGTGTCGAAAGTCAAGTTCGACTGTCTATAAACTCGTTAGAAGCTTTTGGGACTGTATGGGCTCATGCGTTTACATTGTCACAGTATTCTTTTCCACTATAGCACTCCCCAATAATAGGTCTAGGAAATAGTAATCTGAACTACAGTATTACCCGGTCTCTAATTACGATTGGACTCAGCTTCATGGCGTTAGAGAGATGATATTCGATTCTAATCGTCATTTGAGCACTGCTTCGATTGCCCAGAAGCTTGATATTGCACGAAACACAGTTTGGAACCACTTGAGAAAGACGCATCGCGGCCGAATCATAACAAAATCTGCCTATTTCTGGAGCGGAGCTTGACTGGTGATTAAAAGTGGCTCACTTACAACAACTTCAAACAATAACGGTCGTGGTCGAAAGGCAGTGAGTCGACACAAACGGTCTCCCAGCCAAGATTTATGGTTTTGTTGGGGTATTTCATCCGAGGCGTTGGTAACTTTTTCATTGGAGCTGCTTTCTACGTGGCGGTCCCTAAACCCAGGGCACAACCTCGCTAGGCGAGTAAGATTGAAGTATTTACACATTAATATAGCGAGCTTCTAGACCGACGCCCGCTAGCAGCCGCACCTCTGGGGAACGGCCGCTCCGATTAGACTTCAGAGAGTCGGAGTGGCTCCACTGAAGCTTCCTCTCTCATTAGCCGTGACCCAAGACTTCACACGGGTTGGTTACCGCATCTTGCACAAGGGTTGCTCACGTTTCCAGGGTACACGACGTGGACGCAAGAGTAGGGGTTGAGTATAGCCTCGCAACTATAACCGCATACCCAGAAGCTTGACTACACTCTATTACATCCCATATGGATGCGAATACTACAGCTTTGAAAGTTTTCGATGCAATACCCTCGGCTACAATCGCGTAGACTGTTTCTAAGCCAGTGAAGTAAGTAAGTAAAGCTTTGTTGTGTGTTTAAAGGGATTTGCAAGAAACCATCCATCATGAGCTGCTTCTCTAAGGCTAAACTTTAAATTCAGACCGATACTGTCAGGAATTGGCCGTCTGGAGTAAGCAGTAGCCCAGAAGGGCCTATCTTTGGACAACAGGAGGGGAATTCTATGTTCATCAGAACAACGCCAGACCACATACATCGATAGTAACTCGCCAGAATCTCCGATAACTTGGTTGAGAGGATCTTATGTATCCACCTTATAGTCCAGATCACCCGCCAAGTTCATCAGCCGTTTTTTTCTATAGCGAATGATTTGACTGATGAAGAGTCGGGCTCAGGTGAAGTCTGTGAAAATCGATTGTGTCTCTTTATCTTCCCTTCTTCACCCATCTGTGCATATTGAATCTCCTCGTAAGGCCTATTGGGGCTTCTTAAGCTCTCTTGCAGTTCTTCAAAGAACTGGTTCGGCAGAAACTCGTCTAAATTACAACGCTCAATCTATCTAATTCTAGCCCGAGTATCATACGGTGCTTGTATATTTCATTGCACCCTTGAGCTATATACACGCCACGCATTCTTTAGAGCCCATCAGGACTTTCAAATCGTATCGTATTCGGCTTCGGAGTCATGATGGAACGTGCCCATGGTCTTTCAGGGTAAACATTGTGTTGGGGAGCACGACTAGAATACTTTAACCAGTTAAGTCTATGAGGATTTTAAGTTAGAGTGTATTCCCTCCAAAAGACGGTAAGCCTCCTGCTGTCGGCTGTTCTTCGCCTTTACTGATAGAGATATACGAGTATACCGTCACCTTTTGAAGAGCATAAGTTCATGCTTCTTAGGAATAATCTGCCCGCGTGATCATCTCTTATATACCTGTCTGATATAGAGTTACCCTTTTGGCACTTAATAATGGCTATAAGGTAGTAAAAGACGTACCCTATACAGTACCACCGTACGCAAAGTCTTACTGACAGGCATTGATCGCCATTCATAAAGCCAATCAACACTTTCTTCCTTCTCCTTTCCTTTTCTTTTCTTTTCTTTTCTTTTCTTTTCTTTTCTTTTCTTTTCTTTTTTTTCTTCTGTCAGGCATTGCAGACGAGTTGCTCGAGCTGCCCATTGAGTGGATTCCCCAGTGGTCCCTCTATAAATAGGTTGCTTACGCGATCTCATACAAGGTTGGCTCATCTCTCCAAGGTGGTCATCGAGGACGCAAGAGTACAACAGTACTGGCATATTCAGAAATAGGTCGACACCACATTGCACTCCATTGGGTTTACCGCGGTGCATCACTGAGTCCCGCGTTCTTCAGAAGATGTGTATATAGAAAGAAGCATGGACGGAATTTCGGCGCAACTTGCGGTCTGTAAAAGTCTCAGATGTGGGTACTGACTTTAACTCGCCAACTGTGGCCGCCGAGTATCTTCTCAACTGGTGGCAGTTGGTAACGAAGTCAGTTGAAATGTGCTCCCTTATATCCGTCTTCTCTTTGTAAGAACTCTAGGTATATGCGACAAAAATATGATTTGATTGAAGCACAGTAAAGTGCTTGATTGACGCCTCAAAGCATATGCTCGGCGCGCGCTTTTTTGGAATATGACAAGCAAGGACCAATCTTGCGCGCTTCGAATGCTTTGGGAAGGAAAAAATAGGGTTCACCTTGCTTTCGGAGCTCTTTTTTGTGGCAAGAATGTCTGATGTCTTTTTACAGATCAACTTTTAAAATCTGACGCGCTCTGTCCACGCTTCAAAGCGCGCAAGCTCGAAATATGTTTTAGCAACATAACGCGCGCACACTCACACATATAAACAAACTTACACACATCCAATTTAGCAGCTGATTCTTTGCAGCGCATCTTCACTACACAACATTTGCTTCCTGCTTTGCTGCTACAAAATATTTACTTTGTTTTTGACTTTTGTTTTTGGTTTTGTTTTTTTTCTATTTTCTTTTCTTCCTCACTTTTTGTTTTGTTTGGTATTTCCTTGGCTTTGCTTGTGTTGTTGTGTTGTGTGTGTTTTTCTTTTCAACCAGCATTTGCCGGTTGTTGCTCGCCTGAAAATGTCATTCACCGCGCTGCGACGAGCAACAAATTTATTCAGTCTTCAGCTCTTACTTTTGCTGTTCCTGTTTGCTCTGCACATTTCTATTCGTTTGCCTGTTGGTAGATTTTCTCTTTTTCACTGCCTCTTCTGAGCTGAGCTGAGCTGAACTGAAATGAGCTGAGGGGCAGCAGGTTCCGTGTGGTTCGCTGTGGGGCAGAGAGGCGTGACTTCTGCAGACCAAAAACTCATGTGCGGCCCCAGCACATACTCTGACTGTGTCGGTTGCTGGTGTGTGCCTGTGTGTGTGCGCGCCGAGTTGAGTGAACGAATGTTCATGTTATCGGGTGAACGACCGACCTAGCCATTTGTTTTTTCGCCAAATGGGATTTGATTTGTTCTGTTTTGCTTCCCTTTATTTTTATTTTTATTTACATTTTATTTTCTTCTCGAATTGAGCGTGAGCGTGTTGGCGGAAGAGAGAGAGAGCGCACGATAGAGAGTTGTTGTTGAGAGCATATTTTTGTGTTGCTGGCGAGTGGGCGCTTAAGAACGATACGAAAAGTAATGTGAAGTAATAGTTTGTGCACTGTCTTCTGGTGGCTCTTCGACGTGCCTTAGAAGTAGATGCTCATACATACATACATTCACGCTGTGCGCTTTTATTTGCCAACAACAACATCCCATTCACATGAGTCATCACACATTTTTACTTACTTTTTGTAAGTTTTCTTCTGCTTGAAACTTTTTCTCGATGATCACCTCATTAGTTAGCGGTTTTCCATTGACCGAAACTTTGCTTCCACTAGACGGCTATCTAGTGACCTTTGTGGGGTTTCTTCTTTGCTCATTTTTCAATTTGATGACACTTCTGACTTGCCAAATTGATATTTTTAGCATTTCTTGGTCATTGATGGGCTCGGTTGTTTGGTTGTGTAACGTTAAGTGGACTTCTCTTGGTGGGTTGATGGTGATTGATTAAGGTGACATTTTAGGGATCTCCTTCTCGTCATTAGCGTTGACTCGACACGGATTTGCTCAAAATGTGAAACTAGAAGGGTACTTGCTGTTGATGGTGGTAACTCTGAGTGAAACCCTGGAACCTATACTCTGCCTTCGTGAAGTTAACCTACTTGCTGGCATGGAGCTCCTCCCAAAGGCTGCAGGAGCTTAGTCGAAAGCTTTTATTTATTTTCAAGGGTAGAGGTAGGCATTAGGCTTCGAGAAACTACTCCCCTACTGACGGGGGAAGGTGAGATGCTCCCTCTCTTTAAGAACAACTATCTACTTAAAGATCGAAAGGATCTAACTTCAACCATCTGGGAAAGTAGCTTCTCTGTCTTTCAGAACCCGTACGAACACGGTTCACTAATCTAAACAGGTTCGGGCTAGAGGCAGAGGTGGAGGGAGGGTGTAAGAAGGGTTTAGTGGGCATGCGAAAAGGTATTTAATGTAGTGCACGGACTCATTGTATTAAATATACGTTAAGTATGTCTTACATAAGTCTGGATCAGCAGTAGTTGAGTCTACAGATTCTCGACTTTAATTATATCAGTTTAATCGGAACTTCCCTGAAAGCTCGAGCTCTTTATCTGATATGGATGGTGGTTCGTTGCCGAGTACACCCTTCATGGGAAGATAGTTACTGGGGGTGGGGGCAGACCCTCTGTGATTTGGATCTATCTCAACCGTCTGCGTCTTCGAGTTGGATGAAAATTGAAAAGGTTTTAGAAGAACGAGCCCTATATAAAATAAAACCACTGCCGACTCAAAAGACAACCATAAATCCCTGAGCATTTAAGTAGAGACTTCGAAATCAGCGTCCACACGCATACACATACACATACAAAGGCA